AAAAATAAAAAGAAGAAAAAAAATTTAAGCGTTGACTGTTCCTTTCAATAGACCAGTAGAAATGAGCAGTATAATTATCCCAGCTATCTGAGATTCCATCTCACCCCAGTAAGAATGGCCATCATCAAGAAGTCAACCAGTAACAAATTCTAGGGGGATTGTGGGGAAAAAGGAACACTTCTCCACTGTTAGTGGGAGGGCAGACTGGTACAACCACTATGGAAATCAGTATTGAGATTCCTCAAAAAACTAGGATTAGAGGTCCCATTCAACCCAGCTATTCCCCTTCTGGATATTTTTCCAGAAGAACTGAAAATATCATTCTACAGCAATATATATGCACCCATGTTTATAGCAGTGCAATTTGTCATAACTAAATCTTGAAAACAATCCAAATGCCCATCAATTGAGGAATGGATAAAAAGAAGTGGTATTTTTATACAATAGAGTATTACCCCGCTATGAAAAAGATAAACTCGAGGCTTTTATAGGTAAATGGGTACAACTAGAGACCATATTCAAAAGTGAAATAAATCAAACCTGCAGGTGTAAACATCATATTGTCTCCCTAGTGTAAGAACCTGAAAGAGTAAATATAATCCAAAAAGTACAATAGATACTGTGAAAGGGAGAGAAACTGCTCAAAAGGAAGGACCAACTAGGATAAAGGAAAGGGGAAAAGAAAGAAAGAAGGAAGGGAAAAATGTATATGTACATGCACAGAAATGCTCTTATATTTACAAAATGAGATCAAATGAAGAGCAGTTAAACCGTGTGCTTTTATGAGGTTTTCTTAGCAAAGAAGTAGGACAGTGACTTCTAATCTGCTGGGGAGCAAGGTGGGAAGAGAGGTAGGGAAGGGTATGTTCAGAAATAGGGTAACACTTACAGGCTGCAGAAACTAATGCAGATTCTCTTACTTAATAAATCTTAAATGCATCACGAGTTTAAGGCCCACTTAAAAAAAGGAAGAAAATATTTTACCCTTTGAATGGAAGACAAATGCTACACTGAACCTGTAACAAGATGTGCTCCTGCGCACTCCCTAGCCTTGTAAAGAGCAGCAAAAGCACTTTTTAAAATGTTTTCTGCTTTGGCCCTGCAGAAAAATAACACATAATCCGTAATTGAGAGATTCGGGCAGGTAACTCAAGGCTATGTGGAGAAAATGTGTAACTGAGTTCTGGAAATGGTCCAAAGCATCAGCAATTAAAATAACTCTGACTTTTCTTGGTAAACCATGGCAGTTGGAGAGATGAAATGGAAAGATGCAAGGGATCTTTGGGTCAAAGGAGAAAACACCTAGAAACACCCTTTGCCCTTGTATTCAGGGCAAATGAGGACAGAAAACTGTAGTGAATTTCACTGAAAACAGTTTCCTGGTCTTAAGCTATAATTGCAGCCTTAAATCTCTTGAATTGTGACAATGGTTGGTGTGGTATGTGGTGCTAGAGTGTGAAGAAGGTGTGTAAAGAGATGCTCTGGAAAGATTTCTGTATATCAGCGAACTCTTAGAAAATGTTGTCTTGAAATTAGTTGTTCAGATTACCAGATGACAGTATGCAATATAATAACCATTGGTGAATTCTGACCCTGTAGGGAAGCTCTGCATCATTTCTAATGTTTTTTAAAACAATTTTGTTCTCTTTAATGATTCGATCAACCTTGCATTCTTACATCTGATAATCTGAGAGACTTCGTTGAAGATAACAATATGCAGTATCACAACCACTGTTAATTTCTATCATTTTGTTTTGAAACCCTGTATCATTTTTCTTGTTTTTGTTTGGTTTTGTTTTTGTCCATGTTGTTGGTGTTTTGGTTTTTTTAAAATTCTCTTTAAAATACAAAAAAAAAAGAAAACATGTTGATGAGTTGAGTATAAACATACGAGAAACAGAAAGATTCACATTTTTCTCCAAAAATATACTGGCAGAAGCACGAAGGGGGAAAACAGTTGTTAAAAGAGGCTTGAGGTTTCACTGAACCCAGAAATTCTGGAGAGTAGGGTGAGACATTTTTGCCAAACCCTAAGTACTACAGGATCGTTTCCTCTAAACAATCAGATAATTGCCATTTCATTCTGTGGATTTCTCAATTGTTTCTTCTTTTTTCTTTTTTTTAAGCAAACAATATAATTAGCCTTGTCTCAGGGTAATTTTGCTAATATTTCCACAATTAAATAATTACTTCAACCCTTGAATTAAAAAGCTGTCTCTCTGGGTACAGCTGGTTTGAATAACCCCTGAGAGCAGTCGGGTTAAGGACTCTATTTATGTCCTTATAAATTATCCCAAGGAAATGTACTCCATAAGGCAACAGACAATTCTATTTATAATGCTTAATTAATCCTCTTCAGTCACTAACAGAACCCATTTGTGACCTTTTGTTTCAACCTTACCCAAATGCAAGTCTCCTGAGATGAGAAATGTTAATATGTGAACGCTGATAAAATTTGCTGGCATTACGGTCAAGTATTAAATAGCTGGCAGTCTGGATAAATTAGCTCCTGGTAGCTCACTAATCAAATATAAGAAGGGAATGGCAAATGGAACAGCACTGATGAAACCCTTTGTCAAAATCCGGAGCTGGAAAGAGGTAGAAGAAAGGAAAATGACCGTGTCTACCACCGCCTGCAGCACTTGCCCTGAATGCCAGTCTTGGCAGATGAAACAGCCAAGAGAAAGCATTAGGAGTGTTGTAAAGGTTGGCTGTGGGAAGCCACCCGGCTGGCTTCATTACTGTGCTGTTGTTAATATCCAAGGGCTGCCTTCTCTTAGATTGACGCAGAAGACCTAATGCCAAGCAGTTCAGTCTTGTCTTACCTAAAGTATTACAGAGTGGAATTAGATGGAAAACTCCCAATACCCAGCAAGGTATAGGGTAGGGGCAGAAGAGTGTTTTCAGATACATAACAAGGCCCTCTTGGGAAGAGAAAGGAAGACATACTCCTTGCGTGAGCATTATTGCAGGCAGAGGGAACGGTAATGATGGGAATTTGTAAGTCTGCCTATGGCCTGTAGGATGCAAAACTGTCAGGCTTCAGGGCTGTACAGTGTCACTCTACATGTCCTTGTGAATCACAGAACTAGATCATATTCCCTTTTGTCCTTTACATTCAACAGTCAACAGGGCTGGGGATATAGCTCAGTGGCATAGTGCCTGCTTGGCAAGCGCAAGGTCCTGAGTTTGATTCCTAGTACAAAAAAAAAGAGTCAACAGAATGGGATGGCTCTGGTTCTGCCATGAGCCTATAGGTGAATCCTTCAATCTTTTATTCCCTCAGGTTTTTCACCTGTAAAGTGGGAATCAACAGTCCCTACTTCATGAAGTAGCTGTGAAGTTTGACTAGAATTCACACATGTAGTGCCATGTAAGCATTGGCTCTAGATCTCTCCCTCTGGGCTTTTCCTGTCCTTTCCCAGTGCTGCCCTGTAGCCAGCTCAGGCTGTCACAATCTCTCTGCTGAATAGCTCTCTTTATTGTAAATCCATATCTCTCCCAATATATCACCTGTAGTATTGACACTTCCAACATTCAGAAACCTACCAGTCATTTTATATCTATCTCATTTAAAGGCTCTCCAGAACTCATCGCATAAAGTTTAGAGTCCTAGACCTTGATTACCAGCACCACAGTACCCCGCCCACGGATCCTAGGCTTACTCTTTGTACCTTTCACTGCACCTTCTGAACCTGTGCTTCTCTGGAACCAATGCTGGTTTCAATTCCCTTCACATCAGGTGTGTCTGACACACTGCCCTGGCCCTCTAATAACACGACCTCACAAGATCTTAAACTTTTAACATTGATTTGTGACTTTTAGTGATATTTTTCATCACTTGATTGTGTGGTACTGGAAGGTAGACTATGTTTGAGACAGTGGATGCTATGAAGGGGAAGGCAAGGTGCAACCCTAACTCAGCCTCATGAGCCAACCACACACAGTCTGTGGAAGCAAAACCCATGTGTATCAGATGTTGCATGCGCTTGTGTGACTTGGTGATGAAAATGTCGTGACTACTGATGACAGTTATTTCTTTTTTCTTTTTTTTCTGGTACCGGGAATTGAACTCAGAACCTTATGCTTACCAGGCAGGCACTGTGTCACTGAACTTTATCCCCAGTGATGATAGTTATTTTAACCTACCTACATATGTACTTGTACCTGTGAGGACAGGTGTTTGTTGTTACTAAGCAGACATGTAAGTTTTCTTTTTTAGCTATTAAACTTGGGCTTGTGTTGTTTTTAGTGTTATAATAAAATAAAAATATAAAAAAGGAAGCTTTGATTTTTTATATACATCAACTATACTATGTATTTTATGTGTGGCCCAAGACAATTCCTTTTCCCTCGGTGCAACCCAGCTAAGCCAAATCCCATGTCTTTCGGTCCCCTTATTCTCCACTCTGGTCTCTGTGTTTCCATATTTTTATATCAATGCTCATTGTTCTCTCCATTTGGAATTGCTCTCCACCAGTATCTTCCAGTCCAAATCCTGACCGTCTTTCAAAGTCAGGCCTGAATGCCACCTCTAACCTGGGGCCTTTACTCTCCCATTACCATTTTACTTTCCCCTTGGTCTTTTCCGACCCCAGTGCGCTTCACCTGGTATTACAGTCATCGATTTATATGCCCCCTATTTATGTTCCACATTCCAGCCTTTCAGCTCCTTGGATCGGGTCTGATTTTTCAGTATGTTCCATATCCCAACCCTATGCTCTGCACAAAGCAGACACTCTGCGAACATGAATGGCACATTCATTGAGAAGTTTGGACGGACAGCCTGGTCTTGTGGTTCATCCTTTCCGTGACTTGTTCTCAGTCACCTTATTGCTCCTTCACATGTGTGCTTACTTTAGTATTTCAGCTGCGAAAGTAAATGGGATGAAAACGATGCTATCAGCCAGAATCCCAAACACACAAAATGCACAATCAGCTTTCCAGCCACAGATATCCGTCTATGCAGACGTGGGGAGAAGATAATGGGAGCGCAGTACCTTTATACCTGGTCACTACAGCCGCATTGGCGCTGAGAGGCTCTTGGAAGCTGACAGTGAGGGACACGCTGCTGGTTACGATGAGACAGGCGTTGGTTGGGGCCTCGGGGGCTCCTGGCAAAGAAGGAAAAACACAAGGATCTTCGCTTAGCAAATCCTTTCAAACAATGTTCCTGACTCTTCAGAGGATACCTGGAAACATACACTATGGAAACACTGTAGAGCCTGATAGTTTTGCTTTTGAACACTCTTATTAGAAGTCTCAATGGCTTTCATTTGTTGCCACTATGGCCTTGTTTTTCTTAAATTCTTTTTTATTAGTACACGTGTGCCATGCGTAATGCTTATGCTCCTTGTGGGGAGTTGGTGCTTGTATAGAACACACCTTCATTTTCCTTCTCCTCTGTCCCCTCCTCCCTCTATGTCTTGATCTTCCTCCCTATTTGAGAAACATCTATCATTCCACTTCCTGTTATCCATCTTTTATTTTGCTTTTTATTTATATTTTGAGTTTTTCATAGAAGAGAAGCCATGCGATATTTAAGTTTATGTGCCTGATTTATTAGAACACCTTCTGAAGGGGTAAAGAATACCGGTGAAGCCTTCTCAAATTGTTCTGGGGACATAATAGGAGATCTGGCTGGCCCAGCAAGAATGGGACAGAAAGTGACAGCAGCTTCCTATTTAGATACAGTTCATAAGATACTGTCACAGAAATCATATCCTGGAGACTCTGCAGCCCTGCTGGGGGAAAGGGCAAGGAATAATACCGTCACTTTTGAGATGAAGAAACCAAGGGTCAAAGAGGCCAAGTTTCTCGTTCAGAATATGGTCAAGACATACAACGGGATGAAAGCCCATAGCTTCTGATGCCTGACCCTGGGTCCTGTGCAAGATAGAATTCCAGCTCACTTTGTCTTGGTCTTCTTCCTCTTACTTCCGGTAGTGTTTCTAAGAAAAATTGTGGGCACACGTCGTGCCTAACTTCAGGCTTCAACAGGCTAATGATTTTTAGTGTTCCTTAGCACTCAGAAGATGTTTTGTAACTTAGAAAATTATGAAATCTGACATCAAGTCTGAAAGCATGTCTCTTTCTAGTATTAATCTGTCCTAAGCATGGCACAGTAGCAAATACACTTCTTAATGCAATTGCTGAGCCTTTGTAAAAATCCACATACCAGCATTGCTGAGATTATTACTGTTGAAAGCAACCTTTCATTAATACTACTTGAGTTATTTTTTCAAAGAAAAGGTTAGACCTACATTTGGTATCAGTGTAGAGTGCTACCTAAGAAAACATTTTCATTGCCTTTGGTCTTTTTCTATGTGAGATTTAATTTGTTCATTTGAAGATTCTCTAGGCAAAAGCAGAGAACTTCAGTTGAATGAACTGAATTTTCACTTCCGTATTTAAACTTCAAGTCTAAATTTTTTTGTTATACATAACAAAATACAATATTAATATTTCACAAGTGTTGGGGCTGTATATTTTGCTTTTATATTAGGGGCTGCACTAAGCAGTACTTTTCACTGCTGATGAGCATTATCCAAAAAGGTTTTCCTTAAGTTAACCAGAAGAATTGGTAAAGAGAAAGGCCTGCTGACAGAAGCATAGTTCATGGGCAGATTTGATTGTCTTCTATTGCTCATATTAATTGAAGTTCAGTTTTTAGCTCAATGTAAAAAGTGCAGTAGAGAGTTGAAAACAACTTAAACTTGAGCTTGCAGCACAAACTAAGCAAATAGACAAATACTTTTCTACCTCCACATCCCAAAATACAGCCAATTAGTGGATCAGACCATTCATGTCATTAGACGTTAGGGTAGAGCTAGTAGAAAGTGCTAGATGAGTGTGACATGGTGGAGGGGGGCCAGGAGAACCGAGGTCTCACAGCTATGGGCAGAGAACCTATCAAGAGCCAGGAAATCAAGCAAGACAAAAGACCCTTTTATGGCTTCTCAGAGCCCTTGCTCTAAATACTCTGACAACAGCCATCCATGACCCTGGAGAGTGAAAAAAAAAAAAAAGTCTTTAAAAGAAGGCCTGGCTGTCTCAAACCAAAGTAGTCTAGTGAAATGTAGAAGCCTTCTGAGTATACTTACTGGCATGTTCGAAGCCTGTTTTCATGCGTCTGTAGAGCCGATACCTCCACTCCCAAGCTTTCAGCTGTTTCTCTTTCTCTGTGTTGTCCAGCGTGAATCCTTCATTCTCCACCTGGGCAGACAGTTCACTCACCCTGTCCTGGGCTTCCTGGACCAGTGTGTTGAGGTGCATTGCGCGGCTTTCCAGGCTGACAACTAAGGGGGGAGAAATAGGATGACTCCTCTCTTTCTGGGGAGATGCTGCTGCATTGGCAGGCTACACTTAGGAGTGTACAGTCTACTATGGGTTTAAAAAAAGCCAGCACAGAGCGGGGTCAGTATTCATTATGAACTACCTTATTATGAAAAGGTCTAATTAGTGACATTCACAATCACATTGAGTGATAAATTCATCAAATTAAGATATTCTCAATTGCTCTCTGGCCCTCCTGTCACATACATTCAATTAGTTGCTTGGCACAGTTAATCACAATTGTACAGATTTGCTTCCAGGACATTGAGAGACACAAACACATAGGGGCAAAAGCTCTATATGGTTGGAAAAGTCTTAGGAAAGGTTACCCAAGAGGCAAGTTGTATCTTGCCAAAGTTGTTTGTTTCTGTTTTTGTTTTTGGTAGAAGCTGATACAGATTTTGTGCTCTTACCACATTCTGCCAGGGGTACAGAAAACTTTGTATGTGTGCTTTAGAGGTATGGTTTTGTTATTATTGATTTATTTATTGCTAGCAAAGTATTGTGCAATGAGCATCACGGTTGAGTTAGTGAGTTCTGATGGCTGAAAGACTTGGGTGTGATTACTTTTGATTGTGGTCTGGTTACTGGATGAGTTTTCCAGAGTTTTCCATGAGTTTTCTATGCCCAAGGGGGCCAGTTTGACCTGCTCGTCCTGCCAAAAGAGGCTGTAGAACTTGGCATTTACGTTTTACTTAATGCATAATAATCTTCATTTGATTTATGTCACCTCATTTATCTAATCCACCCTTGTGTGAGTGAAGGTTTCAATGATAGAATTTTCCTTTTCTTCTAGTCCTTTAGCCTGTTAATGGCTCTTAAGCATGTGAGGGCCTGTGAGATCACCTGGTCACTTCAGGAGGAGTCCCTCATGGTTAGTGACAAGGAAGAAATCAGCCTTCTGATGGAAATGTGGTGGGGGATCCCACAAATAGTGAAATAAATCAGAACTAAGGTCTATAGATTTGTTGCTGAAATATTTGATAGTCCCTGTAACCTAAACAATATTTCTCCCTGGAGGGTGGGAAAGAAATTCATCCATTCATTCTGCTAATGAAGGGGAAAATATGACGAAGATAACTGCAGTGAAAATTTGTTAGGTGTATTTTGAAATGGAAATTAGGTGGTTACATATTCATATTCTCTGTGTTCAGAGGCATGTTTGCATTAATTACAGGAAATGAATACTAATTTATGATTGCCCCTGCGCACCATCAGTCTAAATTTATTTACAGATGAGGTCAATGAAAAATTAGTAGACTCTTTTTTCTTTTTTTTCTTTCTTTCTTCTTTCTTTTTAAAGTTTCTGTTTAGAACACTCAAGACTGTGTTTTGCTGCAGATTTGTCATGGTTCATGAATGTTGCTGTTGTAGTCAATCATCTCACTCTAAATACTGTCACACTTTTTTTTTAAAGCCTCAGTCATGAGCCATGACAGAAAAATAAACAAATAAATATAAAGCTAAAAAACTCTTTCACTGAGCAGCTACACTATGCAGAATCCCCCGGGAAGGCTAAAGGAGGCCAGAATAAATGATAATATAAGTGCTGTGGATGTAGGGAAGCAATGATGGTATATGGACGTGGAGGTTTTGGAGAAAAAATACACACACACACACACACACACACACACTCAGGCACACACTCCAGTGGAAAAATTGGCAATATTAGTAGCCTCAAGGTGCAATTTCCTGGAGTAGTGAGATTGACAAGTCAGTACTAAATGCTGTTAATTTAACTAACTTCAGATTAATGGTAGAGTCTGCTATGACTGAAACCCTCAAACACAGTCTCATTATAGCCTTGCTGGGAAGGTCCTAAATATAGGCATTGACAGTTTAAAACAAATTCGTATACATTTGTGTATTTTTAGACATAGGTTAGGCGTCAGAGTTTGTGTCACAGTTTTCAAGTTGATTAATTGACCCAGTAACTGCACCCTCTACCCAGTGCCCCCCTCCTCCTTCCTCTCCAAATTATAGAGAAAATGGGGGAATTGTCCTTGTGAAGTTATTCAGTGGCCTTTTATTGTAAGCCTGATGTTTGAATTGCATGCATGTGTCAACACTTGGGTGATAGACACATGATTTATAAAAATAAATTTTTCTAATACTATGAAATCCCCCCCTATTAATTTTTATATCCACAACAGTTATTACTGGTGTGAATTCCAGGTGGCATTTCAGATGGACAGCTTCTCTTGAGCTGTGCTGGGCTCTCCTGACATTTTTTCTGCTTTCTCTAGCACAACCCATTTCTTTTCTGCACCTTTCCTGTCCTCCTAGGTTTTAGACTAGATGCAGTTGGAGTTGTGGTAAAAGATAAATCATGGTAGAATGTTTGACCTCTTTCAAGACCACAAGGAAGCGCCATAAACTTATAACCAGATGGGCCTTTCAAGATTAATTACACCCCTTGTGTTCTTCAAAATGGGATACACGAACTCCAACATAACACCATAGTGATGATGGCGGGGTGGGGATATAGTGGCATCTCCGAAGCTACCATATGAATATCCGGGTCTTTCTGGACTTTCCAACTTTGCATGCAGATTTTGATGAAAGCATGTTATTAGAATTAGAGACACACACATTTATTATAGAGGAGAATGGAAATTTTGCCAAACTTCGAAAAGTTTTTAAAAAGACAAATGATACAGCGGTCTCTCCCTTTTTTCAGGTCCAGGCCTCAGGAGCCCCAGCAGAGACCGTCACTTGCCTCTGTTGTCCGAGCTAATTTCTTGGACGCGTGAGAGAGGCAGGAACTGAGCTAGTGGTTTTCAAGCATTTCACTAAGAAAATCTTTATGTATTTTTCCAATGGATTTTTTTATAGCTGAATAAAACACTCTTTTGCATGAATTTTTTTGCTACCAAACCAGCTGACTTATAAAGTAATCATGTTTGTCCTTATTATTAACGACCTATTTGAGTGCCAATAGAAGCATCTGTTCAGATGAGATAATCAACCTGAGTTAAGCAGAAGCAAGGAAATATAATTGTATTACACTAAGTAATTTTATCTTAAATAATACAGTGATAGGGTAGGCTTTTGACTCTTTAGAAAATGTCTGGGAACCCTATCCTATTCTTTCAACCCAGGAATGGGAACCATTTACATCTCCTTATTTTAAAGATGAGGAAATTGAAACCCAGGAAGGTTAGACACGATATCCTTAAAAACCTTCAAAAGCGCATCGAACTTCTGTATAAATCAAACGGCGTATGAATCAACCTATTATTTAAATACTGCAATTTTCTAATCACTGTTTAACATGGGATTGGTGAACTCACTTTGGCTGGCTGGTTGGGCTCAGAAAATAGAAAGGTTATACCTATTTTATGACTGATTTTCGTGCCCATCTCTCTTTCTACTGTCCAATCATTTCTCCTTCACTTTCACCCACTGGATATTTCCCCCCTTGAATCCTGCACGCCTGCTCTTTGAAAGTTTGGCCTTTTCTCCCACTGCGGTTGGACCCTTCTCCAGCCAAGACTGTCCCTGGGAGCAGTCACAGCCAGCACAATAGAGGGTCTGTGGGTGTGTGGCAAGCAGTCCAGCTGGGGTAAGACCACTCTGTGCTCCTGAAGCAGGCGCCGTGCTATTGTGGTGTTAATTATCAACAGCATTTCTACCACCCAGTGCTTCTGAGTGGGTATTTGTTATAAGACCTGCCCAGCTAATTAACTATGGGGGGGGGTGGGGGTTGGGCGGCAACTTGGTGTTCAAAGAATACAATTACAGTTACTGTTTAAGCCCTGAGATAAATAATGATCACGGGCTGAATGGATTTTCTTCACTACTGGAATCTAACCTATGATCACCAGCTACTTACTATTTCTTAATTTTATCCTCATCCCAGCAGGTGATGAATTAGGGCTGCGTTGATAATTGCTTAAAGCTTGAAAATATAATGTAGGTAAAATGTAAACTAATTTTAATTTTTTAATTGAGGACTTTACAGAACAACTTATTTTGTTTGCTTGAAAGGAATGGAAACAATGGACTCCTTTGTAAATTACTAAAATATGGCACTTTGCCGTTCAGCGACAGGTTTTTTATGAACAACGTTTTCCTTTTTTTTTAGTGGCGAGAAAAATGAGGCCCTAAGACAATCATTTAATCTCAGTGGGAGGAGTATCCTTACAACTAACCTTTGAGGCCTCTTCCCAAGGCCCCTTCATAAGGGGAGCTCACTGCTTCCTGAGGTAGCCTAACCAATTTTCATATGATTCTGGATAGTTTCCTTATCTTAAGCTGAAGTTTGCTTTTTTACTATTTTCAAAAGTGGAGAAAATTCATACAAAGCTTTGGAATCCTCTAAACCAGTTCTGCTCCTAACCGATGATGAACCTAGCTGGTTACTCCGCTGTATTGAGCCCAAGTACCTTGTCTGTGAAGCTAACATAATAATGGCACCCCTCTCATAAATTGTAATAATAATAATATTTGCAAAGAAGATTCTCAATTAATAGAAGCTCATATTATTATTAGCACACCCATTGACTATATATTTTTAGAGACCCTCAAAAATAAAATACTTGTTTTAATGAAATAGCTCAATGTTCTTCCATGAAAAAATGGTCCTGACTTAGATAAACATTTTCCATCCCAGATGCTGTTTAGAAATACAATATGCATTCGTAAGGGTGTCAGATTCAACCCTTTCTGTTATTTTCAATGATAAAACAAGGTCACTTAGGCATATTGCCCTGAAAGCCAATATCTTCTGGGAAATCGAGGAAGGCAGTTAATAAAATTTATCTTTACTGATCACAAGAGGAAACTAACAACTTCACAACTGACTTGTTTTAAAGTAGGAGTATCAGAAGAAGTAATATAAAGGTATTCTAATGATTAAATGTGTTAAAATGGCTAATAATAGAGAAACTCAAAACCTAAGCTCCAATTTACCTGCCTTGTTCAGGTTCGGAACTTAAAACTCACTATGGCTTCACTTGGG